GAGTCATATCTAGAGACCTGTGGGTGTATTCTTGACTTTTTGCATATTCCGTCTGTCTGATTGAAAATCATTCAGCGTAGGCCTGAACCAGAAGGAAACGTCTAGCAGACGAGACCGTCATCCGTAGGGAAGCCCGTGTCTTTCGCCCTCCCACGCGTCTGCTAAAAGACTTGCTTCCTAAATGGAGGTGATATTAAAACAAAAGCCCTGTTTCTGTTTCAGCCGCACATTCCTCTTCAATGGGCCTTTTCATTCAGAACGTCTCCAGCTGCATCTGTGCTCCATAAAGAACCTGTGACTGATTTACCTCATGGGTTTTTCTCTTTTCTCTCTCCCGGGAGCTCGGCCAACTTGCATGTATCTCTATCCGTAGGAAGTGTTGAAGGAGGCCGAAACGTGAGGAGCTGAAGAATCGACCCTTCTGGCGAATCACAAATCTCTCCCGTTGCCTTCCTGAAAAGAGGCCAAAAGTTTTGTTTTCCGTGCCAGTCAGTTGAGCTTCCTCTGAGAAAACCGTTCGAGGGATGATCCTGGTGATCTTTTGAAAAAAGAAGTAACGCTTTGGTGATGATTTTTACTGTTCGCTTTTGACTGTGTCTTGCCATTTTTTTTTTTTTTTTTTGCTTGTTCTCATTCTCAACCATGTCAATGATTTCAGGTCATTGGGCTTTGTTACAAGCTCTTGACTTAAGTTTTTGATTTATCTTTTCGAGATAAGATATATTTACTTGAGAAGCAACACTGCATAATAGGCCGTGAGACAGAGGGTTGATTGGTACCATTTCGAGGGATTAAACCGCATGGTGAATTTTGTGTAGGTATATGACCCTGTATTTGAAAAATGTGTGATAGCATTAGATTCAAGGTAGTTTTTGGTTACGGAGGACGATTTTCAAACATATGTCAAGAAAAAGGATAAATTAATTTATCTTTAAATAAATTTAATACATTTAATATATTTTTTATAAAAATTATATACAATTTTATAAAAATTGTATAATAAAAAAATTATCATTTTTTAAAATAAAATTTTAAAGTTGTAAAAGGATACATTTTTCTCTCTTGTAGTCACTGAACACCTTGAGGTAGGATGATATAAGTGTTGATTTCTAATGAAAGCTACCATGGATCGGATGCTATCACACATTTTCCAACACTAGAGATGTGTACCTTCATGAAAATCAAAAAGAAATTTAATCCCTCAAAATGGTACCGGTAGCCCAAATTTGGGGTCCCGTCTCATGGAGTATAAGATATTAAGACTTGCCTTTCATAGTTTGAATTATGAAAATAAGTGTAGGTTGTTTTCGACAGATTTTTTAACTTGTTTTTAGCCTGTTTATATTTAAAAGAAGTGAGAAAATGACAATCTATGAAAACTAGTCATAATACTTGCTTCTAAAGTTAATTTGTTTTGTTTTAAGGACTCTTTAGATATTCTAACTGAAAATCAAGAAAAAAATGCTTACTTTTTTTGCAAGCTATATGGTGTAAAATGGAAATAATGGTTGCATTGTAAATATCTGATCAAGAAGTCATGTCAACATATGTTTTTATAGTACTTTAACTCATATTTTTTTTTTAGCAATTTCAACTTTTTTGTTATACGAGATTCAACTTGAAGTTAAGTCATTTTAATATAGTTTAAGTTAAATTTGACTTATAAAGCCAATTTGATGATACTAGAAGCAACTAAACAAGTTTTTCAGTTGAAATTGGTGGACATTTTAAAAATGTATTAAAACATATAATTTTTTAAATGTCCAGAATTATTAGAAATGACTGTTTTGCCTTATATTTAGGTGTAATGTATACTTTTTTTAAAGTGTTGTGCCATTAGCTTAGCAACATGCTAACATCAGACTGTTGGAGTCAGTTTGCGTTATTTGTATGTCACATGATCTATTTAGAATGTTCAAAATATGTTCAGCTTCCGTTAGAATGTTCCCTTTGTAGGTTGTAGACTAGCAAGGCAGCTCACTAGGTTGTTTTGCATTATGCATAGCTTTTTAGATGCATGTTAAATACCATAGGATTTTTTTTTTTTTTTAGTTTTAAAGCTCAAAAGCCAATCCGCTATGAGGTGAATCATAACACTAAAAAACTTTGATATGAAGCAAAAAAAAAAAAATTTTGTCCAGTGGCCACAAAAATTTTTATTGTCCAGTGGCCACAAAAAAAGTGCAGGAATGCAAAACATTTTTGGGTTCAACCCTTCATCAGTGTCATGTGTTACCAAGCGTACACCTGCGGTCATTTAAAAACTTATTACCGGAATCCATGTAACATACCGGAGTCTGATTTGATCCCATATACAAATCAATAGTCTACATCATTGTATATACTGTACATATCACAACAATCCTCTATTCAAATTTTTTTTATATGAATATACATATACTCCTTCCCATTATTGAATATCACAAAAGATTATTCTCATCATCCCTACACGTCACACGATTAGACAAAAATCCATTTATGAATGGATGGAATGTAAATGGATTTTTTAACAAAAATGTCTATATCGTTTGGGCTTGAATGAGGAATATACTCTGTAGGGACGTGCACTTTTGCACTTTATTTGTGGCCTCCATGGACAATAAAATCCCGTGGGCTTTTTGGCCCATATTCGTGTGTGGATCTCTTTTTTCTTATTTTTGATTTCCTTTTGGATCTAGGCACTGCAAGAAGACATCACTCATCAGTTTGGGACTAATTTTTGGCGCTACGCCTTTCCATCCTCTTGTTTAGAATTATAAAAATATTTTTAGTTTGCAAAAGTTTATTGCAAAATATGCATATATATTCAAATATTTGATTATTTTGAGAGCTTCATGAGTGCTTCATGGGAGTGGGTGGAGCTAACGATATGATTTTTCTGTACAGCATCATGGGTAGTGCAGTTTTTCAACACCAAATCCACTGTTAAACAAGATTATTTTAAAACTAAGATGAAATAATGCTGGCTAAAGGCTTCAACAAAACCAAATACTATGGATTAACAACGTCGTAGCTCACAGTAAGGCTGTCTTTAAAGTTTATAAGTTATCGACTTTCTCTGAAACATGACCGAGATATATTAACTCTACTCTTTCCCTTGATGGTGTTGCATGTTAGTTATTTTTCCCTTCTCCCTCTGGTCTCAATTTCTGCTTTGAGAAGAGTTAACCTGGTTTGGCTTTTCTATTTCAGACCAGCTCAAAATGAGGCGTAATGATGATGCTGTTTTTGTGGTCCCAGGCTTTATGCATGCCTTGGGGTTTTATTGATTCTGGTTATGGTGAACAGCCAAGTTAGGAGGATGGCCTACTTTCACCCATCTGAGAAACGTTTAGACAGTTTCACTGTTTATTTTACAGACATTTAGGTTCACATTTAGCCATTGTTTACCAGCAAATTCAGCTAGTATTTATTTTTTCATTTACTTTACAAAACAGGAAATATAACGAATAAAAAAAAGCACACTTTGGGCTAGTTTATTGACCCCCTCATGGTTTGATTTGATCTTAGATAAAAAATGTTAGTCTCAGTGGATGCACCACTATGACAAGCCATCAGAAAATACATCCATTCATTCGCAAGGATTTTCCAGATTAACTTAATTTTGCTCAATACAAGGTGACAGCTGTTTAAGACACTTGGCTCTCGTCTTTCCAGGAAATAACTTGTATCCGTAAATTTACAATTATAACAAGCGTACAGTGTTCTGCATCGTTTGTTCCGCCGCATAGAAATAACTCTGCCAAGCCAAAATTCAGTAATCTGAAAATTAAATAAATGGTGTTGGATAAGCTTAGATTGGTAGGTCAGATTTTGGTTCTTCAAGAAGCCTTTGGGAGCATGTGGCCTTGTAAAGCATTCGCAAAACATTGTACTTCTGTAATGTGACTTATTTCTGAGTGAATGCCGAACAGGACTTGATTTCCATGGAGATTTCCATATGAAAACATGAAAATGTATTGCATTGTGTGCAGTAAGAAAGTAAATGGTGTCCATTTTGATTTCACATCGACTTATTTGAGAGATACCCCTTTATGTTGCTATGCAGGGATGCATTTGCTATGACGATATTGACACCTATGATGTAGCAGCTGTGGCTTTGTACTGTATATTTATAGAGATGTGCTGTGTATTGCTAGCTTGGATGAGGGGGCAGATTCACGGCAACACACAGACTATAACCGTGACCACAGTTTCCTGTGAGACTCTTTGCTATACAGATACAATTTCCACTCGTGATCAGAGTTTATTGCAGGGACACGCTTTAGGGAGATTAAATAAAGGAACTGTTTAGTCTGAGTCAGATGCCATGAATAATCAGGTCAGATGGAGAGCTGCAGGCCTGACAAATAAGGGATGGGGCGATAGGTTCATCCAAATAATGGTAATGGCATCTTATCTCCGTTTAATTAAATCCAGAAGCTTGTTTACAAATGATTGATCTAATCGAGATGAATGAGACTTGCTGGAACTTGTTTCAAAGCAGAAAGTGGAATGTTAAATAGAAACAAAGTAGGCCAGTACATAATGTAGGACTGCAATTACTAATCAATAAAATCACTTAAAATGGTTGTTGACAAATGACATTGTTGGTTGGTTGGTTGGCTCTGTGTGCTGTCAAGGACAACCTTCGTCAATAAATGTTGCTTTTCTGTAGTGTGAACATCTGTACAAATAACATAAAAGTTTGTAAATGTGTGCTTAGAGACACACATATATTTACAAACTTTTATGTTAGATGCGATTGATCGCGAATCGATTTGATAGCACTAAACAATATACATTTGAAAAATGGCCACAGGGTGTTCTGCAAATATTCAATGTAGTTGAGAGGTGTTTTAATGCCAGTCTGTTGCTTATTTTACTGTAATCATATTTGTATGTTTATGTACTCAAAGTAAAGTGATTATTTTGCAGAATGCTTAATCAAAGAAATAATTGATTAATCACTCATGTTAGTTGTTAGTCGCAGGCCTAATTCCTTGCATCCTCTTTTCCAGGTGCTAGATGGTGGTTGCGAAGGCAGTACGTAATGCTGAAGGGGCTCGTCCTGAGTCAGAATGAGTGTCAAAGATGGCGATGGGACGACTAGCCAAGATGGAAAGGCCTACGATCTTCAGATATACCCCCGACTGGCTCGAGAGACGGCGTCGTGCTGTACAGTCAGAGTCACCAAGGAGGCCACCGCAGCTACCGTCATCCAAGATGTGGCAGCGGTCCTCGGACTGGACGCCAGCAAGCGATATGTCTTGGCGGAGGTGAAGGAGTGTGGCGGGGAGGAGTGGGTGCTGGAATCGACCGATATTCCAGTGCACAGGGTCCTTCTCTGGCCGAGGAAAGCCCAGGAACAGCATTCTCGGAACGAGGGGTTTTACTTTCTCCTGCAGGAGCGAAACTGTGATGGCTCCATCCGCTATGTGCACCTGCCCGCCGTGGCAAATGAGCAGGAGGCCAAGCGACTGGTTGCTCGGGGTTTCCTCCCACCAAAGCAGGAGGACTTTGAGGACCTCTGCAACCTTCCGGTCCTCAGTGAGGACAGCATCTTGGATAACCTTCGCAATCGCTTTCAAAAGAAGAAGATCTACACGTACGCTGGCAGCATTCTCGTTGCCATCAACCCCTTTAAGTTCTTGCCCATTTACAACCCCAAATACGTCAAAATGTACGAAAACCACCAGTTGGGCAAGCTGGAACCCCATATTTTCGCCATTGCCGATGTGGCCTACTATGCCATGTTGCGCAAGCACGTCAACCAGTGTATCGTTATCTCAGGAGAGAGTGGATCGGGCAAAACGCAAAGCACTAACTTCCTCATTCACTGCTTGACGGCCCTCAGTCAGAAGGGTTATGCAAGCGGCGTGGAACGAACCATCTTGGGTGCAGGACCTGTGCTTGAGGTAAGATTATCAACACCTTGATACGAATGGGGTTTGGTTGCATGTTTCACAACATTCGTAAGGGAATTCTGCCAACCAATCAGATGTTATGTTCTAGTGTATTGGAAGGGTAAAATAAGTCAATTGGTGGGTTTGTCAACCCCCAAAAATAATAATAGCATGTAAGAATCACACATTTGATCGTCAATGTTGGGTTTTCTTGTGAAGTATTTTATCTTTATTTAAGCATTATGCATCAGATTTATGCATGACTTTGAACCCTTGGAGACTCACTTCCACAAAATTTCTCTTTGGTTGAAATTGGAGTGTGTGGAAAAGCACGGTATGTTGAACATTCGCAAGGCAGGCCTACAATAATTAAATTGGGGATCAGAAGATTTGTTTGAGGATTTGGGGATGTTGGATGGTTGAAAACTGTTTCTAAAGGTCGTCTTACATTTCACTCTGTGCAGACTTTAAGCTCAAGCCTCTTGAGTTTTAAAAACTTTCACATGTTTTGTTGTAAGGTATTAAAAGGGTGAAGAAAAACGAAGTCAGTTGATGGGTTTGCCGTTTGTAGTTGTCAACCTTAGGACTTGCCAACCCCTTAAAATGGTAGGGACATGTAATAACTCTAAATTTGATTGCCAAAGTTGGGTGTTTGTGTAGTATTTGTATGCATTTAGTGCATGATTTTGAATCCTTGTAAACTTGTTTCTAAAAAATGGCTTTTTGGTTGGAATTATAGGCTCTAGAAAAGCACTCTACTTTGAACAATGCTTTGTAACAACCATAATGACAGCTTACCCACAGGTCTCTCAGTCTTCACTGTAAACTGTAACTCTTTAGATCAGTTATTTACAGTGTGCTTTCTTACAAGCCTGTGCTTGAAACGTGGGGTCGCAACTTGCCTTACTTTCATATCTCATGTTGCAGTACCGGCAAACCTACATCTTGAGGCTTTCCTCAGGGGGCTGTGTCTCATGCAGTTCTTGTTGTTTTGTCTCTTGCTGTAAAATTATTGCTTGGTCCCATAAACCTGTTCAAGCACATTCTGTTATTTTGCAAAATTTCAGCAGAACCCCTTCCCCATCCCTGATCTCATGGCGGTTTATGGTAGTGGTAACCCTTGCTTTGTGCGAAACTCTCGCAAAGAGTGCATTTGGAGAAAGGTTAGAGTAATGTCATGAAATATTCAAAGCACAAGGGTTATCGTCTAGAGGCTTTATTCAGATTATATTGTAAAATTGGAATATCCGGATTTAGGTCTGCATGATATTGAAGAAAAATGTGATATGCGATAACTTGTTAAATTATGCGATATTCGATGTGCAATATGATAATGCTTTTAAGTGTGTAAAATAAATTTAAATTAAACTTATCACATTCTTTTTGTGAGAAGGATCCCTGCAATTTCTGAAATCGAACAGCAGTGTTTTATTGTAGCTTAGCTACATAAAAAGTAAATGTAATTTTAATGTCAAATGTAAACCAGGGGGTTTAGGGTTTCAAGTAGGCCTATATTAGGTTAACTTAACAGAAATTGAATAATCAAATGTAAAAAAAAAAAAACTGCTTAGTCTTTTAATATACACTGATTCTTATTAAAGATACAAAAGTTATTCAGTCAAGAGCAGTGTGATCAGCCATTGTGATATGCATATTGCAATATTTCAATAGATTGTGCAGCCCTATCCAGATATCACCCTTGCATGTGAAGTTATCTATCAGGCAATTTATTAGGTACAAAACCAACCCACGTGGCTTCCGAGATTCACATCTCTTCTTTGTACTTCAGAAAGTTTTCTGTACACAACATGATATCATGTGAAACCTTTTGGTGTTTGTTTCTTATCTCAGCCCCCTTATATCAGAGCAAAGTTCACTCGCGTAGCAAGTCCTGGAAGAGATGAAAGGGGGCAAGTTTTGTGTTGACGCTTGCCTCCGTCTTTGTGGTTTTTGAAAACTAGAAGTCATTTCCCTGCAGTCAGCATAGTCATTGTCCCTTGGCAGACGTGTCTTGAGGCTTCATAACCAAATATTCCTGCGTCTTCGCTTGTGGTGAGAAGCAGCCTGTGAAACTGGTCAATTGAACATTGAAAACGTCTGGATGGAGCTTTGTTCTGGTCTCAATGATCGGAATCAGATCTCCTTGAGGTTTCTCTGCCTTTTATGGTCTTATGAAGTTCGTTTGTCTCATCCATCTTTCAAGACTATCAATTGGTGCTGATTTGTTAGAAAAGGACACAATATTCCACTTATTATTCTTTCCGTTGTATTGGAGAGAAATGTTACCATATGTGGTTTAATGCAAAGTTCCTTCTTCTAGTCCAGGCTTTCACGTGTCACTTGGACGGATAAATCCACTGAGCTTTGTTGCACTCCCATTTCTATCCTTTTGGACAACAAGGTCCACCGTCAGCATGTTAGTCCCAGTTAGATGATAGATAACTGGTTCTAATTAGCTATGTATTCCAATCAAAGTTGGGAATTTAAAGGTGAACTAAGTAACTTTTTACCTTAACCGAACAGCTTTAGAGTCATTGTAATGTTTATATTACTGATTTCGTGTTGAATGGTGGTCGTCTCGCACCCCCCTGCTGCCTGTGAGCCGCAAAACCACCCTTGCAACTTTGGGCCGGCGAGCCGCCGGCCTCAGTGTTAGGAAGTATCGTGTGATATCAGGTCTCGCGAGGTAACGAATTGCTTTACGGCAAAAAACAGATATAATAAAATTCTGATAAAATGAGCATTAAACAGAAATAACCCGGCGGCGTATACATGTGGAGTTGGGCGTGCGCAGCTCTTAAAGGGGCCATACCTTATTTCCACTCGTTACAGCGTCCATCCTACTGAACAGGTACCGGTGTACAGGGGGAGGGGATCCGGCCGTGAGTGCGAGCCATCTCTGCGTGAGTGCTATTCATGACAGTACAAGTACTCCACAGCGACTCTAGGGGTCGCTGTTTGACAAAAACGGAATTCCTACTTAGTGCTGCTTTAACAAATGTGCAAAATTGCAATATCACATTAAACATTTGCGAATAAAGCCAGTGGGCCGAAGAGAACAAAATCGTCATAAACTGGCGCTAAATATCCCATATATATATATAGAAGCAAATATATATAATAATTTCGTTTATCATTTCCGGCGCCTTAGAACGTGCAGGCGAAACGAGATAAAGTTATCTTGCTGTCGGAGGTGGATGCCTGCTGTTTGAATGCAGTCGTGTAAGACAGTTCTGGAAGGTAATTATACTAAACCACGTTGACAGACTTTGCTTAGGCATTTCAGACGCTGGCACTGAGATCAGTCTGCTGGTTAGTCCAGTTATGGCGTTACAAAGTCACATGACTTTTCTGATGCGCATTGAGGAATGTATTCAGTAAATGTGTTTCCGTCGTAGTTTTTGCGCTTGTTTTCTTATCGGATAGAATATTTATCCGACTCATCTGAGTGCATAATTGTTTTTAATGTGGATTTTTAGAAATCAAGTTTATCTTGGCGTTTTTTCATGCGATATTCCAAAATGCACATAAAAATAGGTGGATGGAAACCATTTATTGTCACCTACTGAAAAGCCTCACCCATGTAGCAAATAGTTTTGTCTTTAAACTGTATTAAAAGCAAATTCATGGACTGTGACACAACGTTTTTTAAAGCTGCACATAATTGTCTCCGCTTCTACATGCATATTTTTATGATGTAAACAGAGATCTTTGGCATCAATTATCGTTGACCAGCACGTCCGACCGGTTTTGCTCGCCTTTTCACCGGAGCTGCACTCTTTCGTAATCCCCTCCTAAAACCGTATTGCTTTGTTTGAATGCATATTTGACCTTCGCATCATTGCATGCATACTAAAAACTAGAAAAAAGTATCTCCGGTGAGTGACCTATTTATGTGGCACATTCTTCTTGAAATGCCCTGCAGGAGAACAGTTGGGAATCCATCAAGCCAAAAATGTGGTTTTCTTCCAGATCCAAGTGGCTTTTTAGTGCATTACGTCATTGAGTATCAGATAACAGGAGAGTTTTTTTTGCCACAGACCCTGCAAAGGGCTTTTTTTTTTTTTATCTGTTCAACAGGACGTCTCTGCAAACACCCCTGCTCTCTGTTTTTCAGGCATTGCCGAGAACAGTGAGGGTTTCGTTCACAGGTAATGCTAATATGAGTCCTCTCTGAAGTAATGCTTCTGCAGCCCACAGACAGGAAGTTCCCTTTGGCTGATCACCTCAACAGGAAGTAGTTTTTTTTTTTGCAACGGGAAGTGGTAGCTGTAGAGACTTCACTCCCTCATTGGCCGATCTGCACACAGGGTGTTTAGAGTCAGCATATTGTTCCTCAGGAAGCTGTAATGGCTATTTTGTGGCCATTGTTTATCTCTCGGCTTTGTGTTGGTCCTGTGAGGACTTTGGCTTATGAGATGGTCTGAGCTATTTTTGGTGGTACAACTGTAACAAGACACGTGGGATGTCGACATGTGGAAAAGTTTGAAAAATGAAATAGCCCATTCTGTCATTAAAGGCTCATTGAAGGCCTGAGATCTCAATTGTCTACAATTTCCAGGTTGCTGGAAATAAGCGTCTGTTAATTTAAAGATCTAAATGGCTTAATACACTGTAGTCAAACAGCCAAAGTCTGGATTCAGGTCTTGATTGTGTGATTTGCGCACACTATTTTTCTTGAGAGCACTCCTTAAAGGTATAGCTAATTGGTGCTTATGCTAGGACAAGCATTAGCTTGTCATTAGCATTAGCTTTCTTTTCCTAGTATTTAGAGTTAGAAAATGTACAGATGTAGTTTGTTTGTTAGTGTGAGCTAATGAATTGATGCCTCATTCTGTTTGTTTATATGCCATTGTGTCCGTGATCTCAATTAGCGCTCGTACACGCTGTCACCAGCTAACACGATATCATAATAACACCGAACAAAGGCATCCGGAGTCGTCTTTTTGTGATTATGCTGAAGAGGCAGAAACAAGAATGAAGTCATACAGTTCACTTGAGATGCGAGATTG